AGAAGTGAAATAATGACCATTCAGACATACAAATGCTGGCCTATATAAGTTGAGAGAGACACTAAGCACATAGGTCAGGGGGGCTCAATAATTATTAACATGCCAATTCTAAATGATTTCAAGATAGAGCTAATAAAATCCCAATGGTAATTTTTCTAAAAATTATAAGGTGATCTTAAAATTTATGTGGAAATGCAAAGAATCTACAATAGACTGAATTACCCAAAAAGAAGAAGAAGAACAAGAACAAGAAGAAGAACAAGAAGAAGAAGAAGAAGAAGAAGAAAGTTGGAAGGCTGATAATGTTTGAATTTTAAAATTATTAAAAAATAATAGTAATTAAAATGGTACTGTGTTTGTATAAAAATAGACACGTAAATTAGTGAACTAGAAAAAGAGCCCAGAAGCAAACTCACACCTACCTGCATAGCTGATCTACGGAATTGGGAACGTGAAAAAGCAGATAAAACAAATTGCTTTTTTAAAAAAAAATAGTGCTGGAAAAATTGTATATTTTTATGCATAAAAAAATAATGGTTGAATACCCTATACCACATACAAATCTAATACAAAATGAATCATAAACCTAAACCTAAAGGTAAAACTTCTTCTAAAGTTTAAACTTCAAGAACAAAATGAAAAAATAAAAAATGTTGAGTCAGGAGAAGATTTCTTAGATACATACCAAATGTATAATTTATTAAAGAACAAATTAATGAATTGGACTTCATCAAAAATTTTAAAAATTCATCTTCAAAGGATACCACAGACAAGTCTCAGACTGAGAAAAAGTTGTCACAAGATACATTTGAGAGATTTGAATCTAGAATATGTAAATACCTCTTAAAATCATAAGGAAACAAATAAGTCAACTTTTTTTTATAATTTGACATTTTTAAATGACTAAAATATTTTAACAGAGATTTCCTAAATAAAATATATGGATGGCAAATAATCACATGAGAACACTGGGAAGTGCAGATTAAAAAAAGTAAAATACCACTACTCACCTATTGGTGGAACTCTCACACACTACTTGTAGGAATGTAAAACACAACAACCACTTTGGGAAACAGTTTAACAGTTATTTAAGAAGGTAAATACATGCCTACCTACCACAGGGTCAAGCCATCCCACCAGGAGGTGTTTACCAAAGAGAAAGGAAAGTGTATATCCACGGAGAGACTTGTACACACAAATCCCTAACAGTTTTTTTGTTTGCAATAGCTAAAAGCTGAAAATAACTCAAAGGTCCACCAACAGATGAATAAGCAAACATGCCATATGTATACAATGGGATACTACTACTCAATAATTTGAAAGGAATGGACTATTGATACAGACTCCCAACTAAATGAGCCTCAGAATAACTACGCTGAGTCAAAGAGCCAGACACAAGAAGCACATGCTGTACTGTTCCATTAGTAGGAAACTCTGTAAAATGCCAGCTATAGTAACAGAAAGCAGATCAGGGCTGGGGGTGAGTGGGAGGGGTGGTATGGTTTAGGAATAAAAGAGATTACTAAGGGACGTGAGGAAACACTTGGGTGAATGGATATACTCACTATTATGATCGTAAGAATTGTTCCATGGTGGACACGTATGTCAAAGTTATCAAATTGTGTACTTTAAATATATGAAGTTGATTATGTCAGTTTATTTCAGTAAGGCTGGAAGGAGGAGAGGAGGAAGAGGGAAGAGAAAGAGGAGGAGGAGGACGAGGAAGAGGAGAAGGAGGAGGAGAAGGAGGGGAAGCATCTGCCAGAGCTCATCCTGTCCACTTCTACATTCCAGCCAGACCTTGACATCCTTGCCAAAGGGGTCAAGGATATGCACTTCCTAGAAATGCAGCCCAAACAGGAACCACCAGCACTCTAGGCTGGACCTCCAGCAATGCTCTTCTCTCCAGCTCATAAACGTGAACATCTGAGTTTTGTTCACTGCTGTCCCAGACCATCCTTCTCCAAGCCATGGGAGAGTTTCCATCGCCTTTACCACTTCCCACCCACAGGGCAGCCCAGTCCTGACTCAGCAGGGAGATAGTAAGGGAAAGTTGAAGGAAGAGAAATATAAACAGGAGGGGTCATCTGGACCCACCCACAGACACCCGCTTCCCAACTACCACAGGGATAACGGGCACAGGAAGCTGGGAGCTGTGGCCCTTGGGAAGAGTTGCGCAAACCAAGTTGGCACCAAATACTGCCTTTGTTCAGAGATTTTGTTGTTGTTGTTGTTAAAGTCAACCCTCTTATAAACAATTCAGAATGTTTTCACCCTTGGGAAACCATGTGGCTGCTTTCCTGGTTTATCCCATTACAATGAGCTCATTTTAGAGAGGCAGTTTCTGAATCCATCCGCTAGAGCAGGACCACCATGCTAGCGCGGGTGGTTTGCAACTTGCTCAATGAAAGCATGAATGGACCAAGGTCTCTGTATTTAAAAAAAAAAAAAATAGTACCCCAACTTAAAATAGTCTTCTAGACCTCATTTAATAGAGTCCCTGTCCATTCAGGGACTTTAATAAATAACCCCACAATTAATGACGTGTTTATCGGCAAAGCCACTTACCTGAAATACACAGTGGTTGATGTTCTCTCTGGGCATTAAGTTTATTTATGAGAGAGAAACACTTGGCCTAAGGATAGAAATAGAGCAGCAGTATTCAACTAAATTTGCAACTGTTCTCCCCCAGGAACCTCAGGTATAACCTATTTTGGGAAGAGTTCAATTTGAGGTGATATGGAAATCTAGCCCAGCATGGAGCTTGCAACTATTTAAAAAAATTTTTTTAAAAAGCCCCTCTCCCTTACAATGCTACTGTTGGGAGACAGTTATACTGTTATAGCATTTAGTAAGTGGATGCCCTTATCTATTTTTATGTGGAGTTATATTCAGAGAATAGTATGTAATTATTACACATCCATAGTCTTACATCAGATCCGGTCACATCTTGCTAGAGACTTTCCAGTTATTTTCCATTTGCAATTTGAATGGAATCCAAATGTCTCTATAGGGCCAACCAGGCCTCAGTGGGCCTGACCCAGTCCCCACCAACCTTGCCACCTCGCTTAGGCATACATGTTTTCTTTCACATCCTCCATATCCAGAGATCTTTTCATGGGTCATGCTCTTTCTTCTTGTCCCTGTTCTTCTCAAGGCCAACTCTTCTCCTCTCCTGGTTCTGGGCTGCAATGTCATCTACAAGGCCCTTTCCTTTCAGTCCCCTTGTCACTCTCCACCTGTTTAACTCTTCCACAACACATAGCTAACTAAACTTCAGAGCCTAGAGTTTTGTTTTGTTTGGGATACAAACGATTGAACTCAGGGGCACTCAACCACGGAGCCACATCCCCAGCCCTATTTTGTATTTTATTTAGAGACAGGGTCTCACTGAATTGCTGAGTGCCTTGCTTTTGCTAAGGCTGGCTTTGAACTCGAGATCTTCCTGCCTCAGCCTCTGGAGCCGCTGGGATTATAGGCGTGCTCTACCTGCCTGGCTAGAACCTGGAGTTTTAATAGGATCTTTTTCTTTCATTAAAGAGTAACCAGCATCAGGTCAGGAAATATTTATTTTATTCACCTGTTTTATAGGCACTGACATATAGTAGATACTGGATAAATCACTGTTGAATACTGAATGGATAATGAACCATATTCCAAGTCTTTTTTACCTTTCTTTAACCCTACCCCAAACTCCAAAATCCAATTGAAACATTCTTCCTCATCCACATGCCCATTTTTCCCTTTATAAAATCTTCCCTGGGGCTGGGGATGTGGCTCAAGCGGTAGCACGCTCGCCTGGCATGCGTGCAGCCCGGGTTCGATCCTCAGCACCAAATACAAACAAAAATGTTGTGTCCGCCGAAAAACTAAAAAATAAATATTAAAAAAATTCTCTCTCTCTCTCTCTCTCTCTCTCTTAAAAAAAAAAATCTTCCCTGAGCTTCCCATTTTTTCCTGATTAGAGACAAGGCTTATTGAGTGCCAAAGATATTCCTAGACTACAGTGGGTACTAAATAAATGTTGCTATCATTAGTAATACTATGACCACTTCTTCCAATCTATTGCTAGAGCTATGTTTCTCAAACATCAGTTTTTCTCTCACCACCTTCACAAGCATTCACATATTCCCAGTACCATCTTCCTACTTTTGATGTCATGATTTTTTTATTTACGCAATGTCTTCCTTCTTAAATTAACATATTTTAAAGGAAAATTTATAGAAATTAAAAACTCCTTTCATTTATCATAAAAAGGAGCAATTATAAAAATTAACATATTGAAAATAAACAATATACTCTTCTTTTTTCTTCCTAAAGGGAGATGAGCAACTGTTAGAAAAGTAACAACCCTAATATATTAGTGACAACACTGATACGAAAACTATAATCGTTCTCCATGATAGTCAAAAAGACTGAAAATTTTTGAACGTCTTCCTCACTCCACACATCAGTTATTATTTAAAGCCAAAATTATGTCCTTCTAAAATCACCCTACATACTATTCAGCCTCTCTGTCATATTGTATTGTTACACTGTTCACTTGGCATTTAGCATTCTCCACTTTGGGTAGTTACATGCTCATATCTATATTTCAACTCACTGTTTTGTTTATTTTTATATCTACTATGGTTCTTAGGTTGAAACCTTGCACAGAATATAAATGCAATTTCAACTGAGTCTAATTCTTTGAGTTTTGAACCAACTTGATAAAAAAGACAATTCTTCCAATGTTCAGAATATTTTTTTAAAAGGTAGCTTTGGACGGGGTATTCAGGTATTCTCTCTTCCTTTTCCCTCTGCTCTTCTGATTTCTCACAGATATGTACCTCAACCATCTCATCCAAGCCCTGTATTTACATACCAAGGGAACAACTAGGAAGAGGGCCCAGCACGAGAAATGTGTTCCTTATATGCATGAGTATACCTGAAGCAAGCCCTCTAATTTATTAGTAAAATAAAGGCCAAACAAAATGAGGAAAAAAACTGAATGTGTGATTTATTATATTTAAGATTGGTCTATAAGGCTTAAATATGTCTGTCATAGTTAACAGCAAATGAATGTAACTTTACAAAATCAGAATTTTGATACAGTACAGGACTAAATGTGGCAACTATGCATCGGAAAATTAATATTTCCTCAATGCAAATATCAAATCTGCAGCACCATTTAGAAGCATCCACTAAAAACTCAAGCTGCAGTATTTATTACAAGCTCTACTCGGAACACAAGACTACCTAAATCAAGCATTAGAGAAAAACAGTGGAGTCATTCACACTTAATATGTCAGATTTGGTACAGGATTAAAATACTAAGTTTTTTAAATGTCCTGGTTTCAAATTAATAAATATAAACACAATATAAAAATATACACCAGTTGATAAGGCTGTACTGCAGATGATCAGGAAGTTAAATCTCGCTCTCATATGTATGCAGGTATGTCTTAAGTGTCAGAATTTCAGGGTAGCTGCGGCTGGTCTTTCGGAAGAAATCCAAACTGGTGAGATGTTCAATGTCCCGCACTCGAGCTGTGTGCATCTTTATGAGTTCTTCTACCCATTTTGACTCATCCTCTGAGCTCTGTAATGGAAATAAAGCAATCAGAGTCAGAATGTTCCAGAGGTGGTTCTCTAAAGGGTCATTCTACTCCAAGTCCACAAATGACCTCTACACACTCCTGCACACAGCACTAAAGCATGTCACTCCTTCTTGACCTTCCTGTCACTCGGCAGCATTCCTGTTGGTAATGCACCACAAATACCTGGCCTTGGCTGTAAACATTTTCAACAGCAATTAGCTGTACCAAATAAATGAGACATGCGGTATGAGAGGCACTCTTCTCAATAGGTTCTCAGAATGTAAATCAAAATTAGGAAAACCATAGACTCTGGAGAATTCAATAATTTGGTTCTTTTCCCGGCTGAAAAATGCAATGCTGACTGCAGCGCACAGGTAATCTGAATACTCTCCTGCTTCCAAAGGAAAATGCAGAGCTGGTACCCAATGCACAAAATTGTGTGTGTTTGCATTCTTAGATTGTTCAAAAGAAGCCACTATATCAACTACATCATCTATTAGACTGCAACTAGTTGATATTTGAATAGTGAATTCAACTTGACACAGCTCAGTTGATGCACTTGGCACTTTGGGGCTTGAGAGGCCTGAGCTACAAATGTGGTACTGCCACTTCCTGGCTGTGTGAACTTGGTCATGATGCTTGACTTTAAGACCACATTTCTTTATCAACTCAAAGGTTAATACACTTACTTCAGCAGCTCCCTGGGAAGTAGAAAAAAAAGGAGAGGGAGAAAGAGGGGGAAATAAGGTAAAGAAACATCATGAAGGAAAGGAAATCTCTTTCTGTCTCAGCTACTTGCCAAAAACTGCCTTGCTGTCTCAAATTCCAGATGAAAGACAGTCAGATGTCCCACATCAAACAATTTATCTCAAGTCTAACTTAAAACCAAAAGGTAATTCAGGTGAAGCAGTACTTTGCTTCTCAAAAACATACTCTTTTATTTTGGAGGCAATTGGGGGAAAGAACAAGGTCTGAAAGCCCTGTCAATTCCAAGAGTTTGCCTTCATCAGTAGAATTGGGACAGGAGGGCTTTATAAGTGCTCTCATCTCCTAATTCCCTTGGGACTGAAATGACCTTCCCCCAAAAGAGTCTTTCTAGAAGTTGAAGTGTGGCTGCATGTCCCAGGGTTGAAAATGTTCAGATTTCCCCTCATCCAACTCTTGACCACCAGTGGTCTCAGTGAACTATCCACCAGAGCCTGAGAACCTGCAAAGATTTTCTCAGAAAGCTCCAACCCACACAGACCTGGACAGGGAGCTACAGAAACTTGTGCCAGGACTAAATAAGTAGCATGACAGGGTAGGATCAGGAAACTGATGCCTAGCCATCCCAGGAAAATTAAGAAATGGGAAGAAATTGCTTTACAGCCTGGAGAAGTAAGGATTTTAGCCTTCCCTGCCCCACCCTCCTAGCCAACCTAACCAAGATCTCTACCACTCACAGGAAAGACCTAAATATAACTCTACCCACAACGGTACTGACCAATCCTCAGTGTGACCATATAATTAACGAAGTAGGAGGTCTCAGATGGGTCAGGACCCCCTCAGAGTGAGCAGAGTAAGTATGAGGTTGTGCTTTGGGAGACTTTTCATATTTATCTCATTGGTTCGATTTTTCAATGGTAAGTCAGTCCTGCTTTCCCTTTGTAAATGCAATTATTTGAATATGTGGACAGAGGTGAAAGGGTTCTCCTAATTTAAATCATGGCAAACTGGGATTATAAGAATTCAAGGGAAAAAAAAATATGTCTTTTGCAACTTCTTTCCTGGGAAGTGATTTGCCATTTTCTTTGGAAGGGCATTCTCTGCTGGTTTTCACATGCTAAAATCTGGTCTCTAATTTGTCAGTAGGAAAACCAGGCTGCGCTGCACATGAAGAATGTCGTGCAAGATGAAAAACTAATAAATTTAAATAAAAGTCCATGCACCGAGGTCAGAGTAGGAAAGGAGAAACTTTAAAAGTAAATAACAGATTATTAAAGCAAACAATAGCACAGTCCATGAACTTGCCTCCTGTCTTTGTGCTATGGGTATTTTTTCTTCACCTGCCTTTTCTCTCTGACTTTCCCCTAAGCAGATTTGTGAATTCAAGCTGGGGCTTTGAAATAATCTTCAAAGCATGGACAGGTTTCTCTGTGGACAGAGGATTCTTTAGTAAGAAGCATAGTGGCTATGAACTCTACAAGAAAAAAAAAAAAAAAAGACCTCTAAACTCTGCAGGTCAGCAACCAGTAGGCAGAGGAAAACCTGTGGGGACAGTATTGAATTACACTTTCCAGATAGAAAAAGTGGATCAACTAGAGAACTATCCCTTCCACTTAGTCTGAAACAGTGCTTTTCAAACTCTCCCTTCACCCAACTCCCCTAATGACATTAGAACTTGAACATGTATTTTCAAGAACTTTATATATACACCTTAAATGCCCAACTCTATGTATGAAATGTCTTTGCAATCTTTATCTAAAAAAAAAAAATGCAAGACAACTTTGATTTCACTCCACAGTATGTGTTTTTGTTTTTTTGCAAAACTTTTACTTCCCAAGAAGTTCTTAGTAAAACTGAAGCTCAAAGAAAGTATTGTAATGTTGCACGGAGGCATTACATCCCCCATTACTCCATTAGCTACTCTTATGGTTTTGAACAATCAAAATAAAGGTCAACTGTGAAGTCTGTGATATCTCACCTCTCAGTGCAGTTGCCTCACTTCTCCACCGCCCATCCGATCATGCAGAGAGCCCCACTGATCCTTCAGGTATACTATTAGTGCTTTCCACTGTTCTTTTTAAATGTCCTGGATCCTACTCCAGTTTAAGGTTTGCTACCTCACTCCTGTGAATCTCTCCCTGTGAACACCATGCCCAGCCTCCTCCAATTCAAGTTCACCTCCATAAAGCCTAAATGTTGCTCTTCTGATCAGACATTTTTCTTGGTTGATCTAATGACTGTGCAGAAAGAAAAGCTCCCAAGTGCCCAGGTTCTAACACAGAAATCTGGTAAATGGAAAAGAAAACAGGTTTCTATACATTCTGCCCTCCTACTAAGTCACCAGGCAGCATGTTTCCTTTATTATCTATAGGTTCCTCAGCAGCTGATAAAAAGGCGTGTGTGTGTGTGTGTGTGTGTGTGTCTATGTAAGCATACATATATGGAGAGAGAGAGATGCCTCATAGGGTGATTTGATGATTAGAAATAATACATGTAGAAGACCTGCACAGTACCTGGATCACAATATGTACTCAATAAATGGTAAAAACTACTAGAACTGTTACTAAGACTATTATTACTATTACTACTATTACAATATTTTTAATTTGTTTCTAAGCAACTTTTAAAATCTTATCTCCCACTATTGGCCATAATCACAATATCCTAGACAAGCTTAACTCGATTTCTACACAGCATTTCAAATATGTATGTTTTCCTGCATCCTTTGTTTTGCTTTGAATATTCATAGCTCCAACTTTCAACCATAATTGAAGCCATAGCCCAAGAACTGCATTACCCATGAAGCTGATAATCTCTGTTGTCTTTTAGTATGGCAATGACTTAGCCAGGCATGTTGGCACACACCTGTAATCCTAGCAACTCAGGAGGCTGAAATAGCAGAATCACAAATTCAAAGCCAACCTTAGCAATTTGGTGAGACTCTATTTATAAAGTAAAAAGCTAGAAAAAAAAAGGGTTAAGGATGTAGCTCAGTGGCAAAATGCCCCTGGGTTCAATCCCCAGCACCGTAAAAAAAAATAAAAAAAAAAAGGAAAGCATTTTTTTTAATCTCTTGGCTGCCTGAGAGTAGTGATTATGTCTAACACAGTATTATAAAGGGAGAGATTCACAGGAGATTCACTGGAGTAGGATCCAGGACATTTATATCTTATATTGAATATCTTATACAATTTAGGGATTTGAATATGATTTGTTTACTAACATTCTCTTCTGCAGATTACTTCCCTGCTTCTTCTACCAAGTGAAACAAATGCATAGACTATTACTTGTAGCAGGGACTTTGTATTACATTAAAGACATCTAAAGAGATTAGATGATTTTCCCCTTGTGCTGAATTAGTGCAGGATCAGGAGATAGCAAGGCTCCTGTCTTCCTGCCAGGGTTTGCTAAATGTACCCACTCACATACAGACACACACAGAAAAATAAAAATCCATTAGAACACCAAGCCTCTATGTGTTAAATAATATTCTACCTGGGTCCTTCCTTTTTTTCACTTTGTTGGATAATCCAAATGCTTTGCAATAAGTGTGTTCTAGTTCAATGATAGTATAAATTATAAAACAAAAATTAATTATGAAAGCAAATCCTGAAGGACTCTGTCCTTGAACTCACATTACAGCTCTCATCATTGTCTGGTCTATGAGGAAGGATGAATGAGGATACAGAGAGGGGGCCATCGCACTTGTCGGCTGGCTGAGTGAAATCCAGGCAGCTGGTGATGATACTGTAGTAGTGAGTTGGAACAGGAATGGAACTGCCTTCCACATACCTGAAACAGGAAGGTGATATAAAATTTAGATATAGAAGCTTTCTTTTTTAAATGGTGACCAAAGGTTTTTGCTGAAGTCACTCATTAATTCTCATTAATTCCCACTCAATTGAGTTATTTTTTCGCTTCTTAGCACTGGCCCACTTCTATAGCTCTGAAAATAATGTCTGCCTGGCATCTTCTCCTTCCATCTGCAGAAGGAGAAAGATATTCCAAGTAAAGAAAATGGTCTGATCCAAGAGTTGGAGGCAGGAAATGGCAAATAGATCCAATTTGTAGAAATGAAAGTCTGGAGAGCTAACAAAAGACAAATTACAGTGAGTTGTCAGCCACGATGTGGTGTTCGGATACTACTGTTTAGGAAATAATTTTCCATTAAAGGTGTTTATGGTAGAGCGTCATTACTACACCCACATTTTAGGAAGGTAACTCTCATAGAGTTGTAGAAAATGGACCAAAGTCATGAGACACTGGATTTAGGGAAATAATAGCCCTTTCAAGCTGCAATGAGACCCTGTCTTGGTACGCAGAATTCATTTACCAAAGAAAGCATTAAGGACCAAGTGCTAGGGATGAGTCTAGAGGTATAAAAAATCATTTCCAATACAGCAAAGTGCAGAAACTTACAATTTCTTACCTGTTTTTACAGTATCTTAATTTTAATCATTTTCAAAATATCAAAATTATAATTGAACTAAAAACTTAATATTGGCTAAAAACTATGTATTTTGTGCTGGGGTTGTGGCTCAGTGGTAGAGCACTTGCCTAGCATGTGTGAGGCACTGGGTTCGATTCTCAGCACTGCATATAAATAAATAAAATAAATAGCAATTGCCGCAGTCCGGCTGCAGCAAAATAACCGGGGGGTGACGAACAACTTGTGTAGATTGATACAGCAGGAGTGGAAGCCGTTTATTGCAGGACAGGAGCAGTATTTATACATTCCACACAGCTTATCTAATTAGCATAAACTAGATACATCAGTCAACCAATAAGAAATCTCCACACTTAATGGCTCGCTGGTGTTACTTCACAAACCACTCCCTCTGGCATTTTGCCAGGCGCCATCCAGACTTGTTTACAGACTCTAACATTCCCCTGGCAAAATGCCAGGTGTTATTTTGACTTGTTTACAGACTCTAACAGCAATAAATAAAATAAGTAAAAATTTTTTAAAAACAATATGTATATGTATATAAATATATACATACATATATTATATACATACTGTATTTACTAATACTCATAAACTATGTATGCATTAATATTATTATAAAGTATATATATATATATATATATATATATAAAACAATGATCATCAATAAAATAAGTGTATAACTAAGATGAAATTTCTCTCATAAATGACTGGAAAAGGAGTAAGATGATTTCTATTTTAATAGTTCTCTGTTACTTTAAAATAGCATTTTACTCCCTAAAAATCTGTAATACAAAATTACGTATGTCTTACATGCCATGCTGCTCCCTTATTGTTTCCTGGGGGTATAAAATTAAATGATAACTCATTCTGAAGTTGTCATCTCTGTGTCTTTTTGCCTCCTCCCCTAAACTCTTGAGTTCCTTATGAAATCAACATTTAATTTATCCCCAATAGCATCAAAGAGAGGGATAGAGAAAATTAGATTCAACCAAAATTCTTGCAATTTCCTAATGATATATAATGACTCAGAAAGTATAAAAGCTTCCAGAAGTCTCTCAAAATAATGGAGGAAAGTGAATATTATGATCTTTCCATTGAAGAGTTGTTACATAGAAGAACCAATGATAATTTTTTAAATATTTGATATATTTTTCTTTCATGGAATAGAAAACTGCATTTATTTCACACAAAATGAAAATTTTCCTTTGAACCACCAATGCCACATTTAATCAAAGGTTCAAAAGAACTGAAGAATTCAAAAAGAGGTTCAATGAAAGAAGAGACTTAGGGGTATTGACTCTTCTCTAGTACATGAATATTTGAAAAATAACCTTGGCTGATATCTTGGAACTTAAACATCCCATACTGAATGAAAACGAAAAGCTTACTGTTTGATTTTGTCTTCTGTGTCATGTAAGCCATCAAAGTCATAGTCAAATATTGGTCCACTTATCACATTTACTCCATTTCTTTCTGAGGCATATTTCTTCACCAATACCCTTTGGAAATAATTCCAGACCCCTGTGCAAAAACAAAAATCAAATCTTCTTAAACAAAACTCCTTGCTCTGGCCAAATTCTCTCTAGGATGCATTCTACAAGCCAAATGTCACAAGCCAAGAAACAATAGTACTGTTGTGGTTCGTGAGAGGAATCTATGCTAAACCATTATCTCTGTGTTTCATTTATAAAGCATCCAAAGAAAAGATATGGAGCTATGAGATAATGGTAGGATTTAATTAAGTCAGGGAAGGGTTCCCAGAAAAAGTTATTGAGCTGAAATCTGAAGGATGGATTAGTAGGTGAGACAAAAAGATGGAGGTAGAATGTGCCAGGTAGTGTGTGCACATACTAACTTTGCAGTATGTACAAAAGTAGAAGTGTGGTCTTTCTGGGTGATTGAAAAGAAAGCATAGCTAGCTCACGAGTTTGTCCTTAGCTCCGACCTTTCCACGGAGCCCGAGCAAGTTATCCAACCATCCTTCTCATAATCCACTTGAATATCTAATCATCATATCAAACAAAACATTACCCAAAGAGAATTCTTGATTTTCCTTCCAATCCTGCTCTGCCCCTTGTCTTCTCCATCACAGTTAATGGCACTCTCACCCAGAGAATTTGTTCAGGACAAATTCTAGGAGGCATCCCTGACTTCTCTCCTCACTCCTATGAGCAAATGCTCTCAAAGCTGTCTCAAAAATGCATCCCAGTCACCCTAAATCAGACCACCTGTCACCCTATTCATTGCTTCCATCTTGATCTAAGTTTCCATGCCGTGTGAAATGAACTACCACAGAAGACTACTTCCTGGGCTCCCTGTGCAAAACTCTTACTTCTTGATAGTAACCATATGGATCCTTTTACACCACAAATCAGAATCAATCAATCCCCTCACCCATTTCTAACACTGAAGAAGATTTTTCATTGTAACAATAAAAATCCAAACCCAATTCGCATCCACAGCCCTGCCTACACCTGTGATTCTACTTCCAACCCCTATCCTCCCCTGGGTGCAAGGCTTTCTTCCTGTCCCCCAACCTTATCAAGTTTGTTCAAGCCTAAGCTTTTGCTTTTGCTCATTCCTTTGCCTGGAAAATTCATTCCATGGTCTCTTTTTGTCTGGTTTCGCTTCTATTACTCATTTCTCACTTCCAGTGTCACCCCCTGCATGGGACTCCCTTGTCCATTCTAATTCCAGTTTACATTATGGTCAACCAAAGGAACAGGGGAGGAGTGGAATGGAAGGCAGATAAGAGAAGAGACTAGCAGGAACAGGAAAGGCAAGCAATGAGTTGTTTCCCTAATATTAGGTCCAACTCACCACTATTTTACATGAGGATTAGAGGTTCAGGATGCTACCACTTCTTTCCTGTCCTTATTAAAAAGCACTTGGCCATCTTTCCCATAGGGCTTCCACTGCTCTTTCTATCTTCTGACTCTCTACTCTGAATAAAAATAGCAGAGCAGCCCAAAAGAGCCAAAAACCTTGGATAATTATTTGTACCAAAGAAAGAAGGAGGACAGTAAGAGGAAAGGTTCAATGTTAACTTAAGCCAAAAGAGCGAGAACGAGAGAGTGAAAGAGAGAGAAGAAATAACAATGGGAACAGTCAAAAGGCCAAACCCACAGAAATGTGGCATGAGAAAAAAACCATCCCCCTAGTGAAGAACAGCAAGCCCTCTGTCAAAGGCCTTGCCACACCAGCCTCAGGGTGGTACCGTGTGTTTCCTTTATTTCTGTTTGGTCCAAATTACATCAATGAAGAATAGAGAAATCCAGGAAATCCCAATTCATGGCAATTAAAAGAAGCTATGCCCCCATTGTGAGAAATGTACCTATGTGAGTTTCTGAAATGTTTCTCAACTGAGTCTGAGAACAAACTAGGAAATCTTCCTTTAAAACCCGACTTTAAATTTTCATTCATAAGCAACAGATTCTAGCTTTGAGAACACCTTCATTTACTAACCAGGACATCAAATAAACATATTTTTCTCTAAACCATGCAGCCATTTCACCAAAGTTAAGCAGGGAGGCCTGCCACTGTAGCTGACATACCGCAATTCCTCCTTCCTAATTTGAGACTCTATTTCAGCCCTGAGAGTCCTCACACAGAACCCGATCCTCCACTGCCAAGTCAAATTAGAGAGAAGTACTCCTTTTTCCTACTTGTCCCATAAGCATATAAGTTCTTTCACTGTAAATGAACTAAAAGGGAGTAAAATATATTCCATACTGCCTTCTCTGTCTCCAGATAAATGGATGGTTGGATGGTTGGATGGATGGAGAGATGGAGAAATTGATTAATTATTTAATATGAGAAAAAGAAAATGGATTATATTTACCACTGAATAGATAAGTCATAAATCTATATGAGTCTTAGAGGTCATGCAATAAAATCTTTTAATTTTACAAATGAGAAATTGAATATCACTTTTACAATCACACAGCCCGTGGTCACACTTCAGAGATGAGAACTTGATTTGGGGGGCCAGAACTTTTTGTGCCTATAAAATTCATAAAATCCTTACCATCCAAAACTATTGTTGTCATGTACAAATCAATTATGTATTCAATGAAATGCAAACAATAGTCTGCACAGCCCTAAAGCCAACTGAAAATAATATTCTGATGAATGAAGACCCCTGAGGCTCTTGATGGGTTTCAGAGTCAGCACTGTATATGCACGAGTACCCCACAGGGGAGAGTGATTTCATGGCAATGTTCAGTAAGTAAATGTAGATGCTGTTAAGTGTCAAGTGACTTCCAAAATTCAGTGGAAACCTTTTTAACCACCAAAAGAATGAGCATTAAAATTGCAAGAACTGAAAGAAAAACACAGACGTGGTTAATTCAGCTTCTACCACTTATGACCTCTGTCACTTATGATGTCAACTTCTTAAATATAAACAAGGGATAAAGTAAGTACCTGCTAACCTTCCTCACAGATTCAAATTTGGGGTTCACAGTAGAAAATTTATATGAAAGTTTTTCAAAAATGTATGAAGGCTAAACACATGAAAGGTATTGTCATTATTAAAATCAACATAGTGGTAGAAAAGGTAAGTGGTAAATTTAGAAATATTTACTTTCATAAATAACAGTTTATTAGGTAAATATTGGACTTACTTTTGAAAGCAGGATACATTGGGACCATATTGGTTACAAGGAATGCATCATATTTAGCCTCTGGCGAAGAGCTCAGATCTAAACATCAAGAGAGCAAATAGTGTACATGACTTACCAAAATCTACATCAAAAGAAAAATAGTCTTCCAAAATGGTCCCATGGCAAGCAGGTATAGATCTCCTCCTTTATTCCCACTCATTGCCTCCTTTAGACATTTCTCCCCCTCCCCCACTCAATCTTTTCCCTTCATTCAGTCTCTCTCAAAAATTGTTTTTCATTCTACCTAGTTCTTAAACTTAAGTACTTTGTAAAAGAATTCCTTGATTTCATTAGTGTAACTCAGACGTTTAAAAATAGCATCAAGACAATGAAAGGGTTCCACTTATTTTTAAGAGATCACCTTAAAATCACCAAAAGATTAATGTTTTCATTTTTTCAGATTCTCATGAAACAATGTAAGGAGGAACACAGAAGATTCCCTTGCACTTTAAAATTCTCCTGGAAAGTTGGAATTTTGAAAGTTGGTCATTGGCTAATTTTGGAAGGATCACATAAAGTTCATCTCTACAATCTCTTGAGTGGCCCCTCTTAAAGAAAATCAGCCACCGAAACCCTAACTTCCTAGTTTCACACTCCAGAATGTACAGTATATCCCTGCCCCCAGCCAAGTGATCAGATCCAGACACTCTATGACTTACAGGGAGGAAAGAGGAATCCGTAGGACATCTGCTTATCATTCTTGTAGGCCAAACAATTCTGACTGAAGCCTGGAGAAACACGGACGTCAGGGCGGACACAATTGGTCAGATGCTCAGGGATGCCAGAAACCTCAGCCTGCATGAGAGTCAAAGTTACTCAGTAATGCCATCGCAGAGAGAAGGCCAAATGACAGGGACACAGTAATGCTGTCATGAGCAGCCCAAACCAAAACCCTACTGGCTTTTACTATAGCTCATATTTTGATATTCTGATTCCTTTAAATATCATTAGTTTTAAAAACAACAAGCCAGTAATTTTCAAACGCTTATTTTTTAGCAACAGAAGTCTTTTATCAAAGTCTTAAGGATAACAATATATAAAGCAGAAATCCCACTGCTGGAAAATGAATAGGCTTTCACAGATCATTTAAAAACTAACACATTTAGCAATAACAGACATCCTTTCCAAAAAAAAAGTGTGTGTACTCTTTATATGTGTGGGTATATATATACATATATTTACACACATAAAGAACATATAATATATATAATATACGTATATAAGTAGAAGTATTCTTTTCATTTATATTCAGAAATTTAAAACACTTCAAGTGCCAAATAAATTTTTCCACTTCATGATATAACCTATGTATCTCATCCTCATCACATTGAAGCTCCAACACAAAACTTTTAATAAATAAAAACAGGATGCCAATTTGTGGGAAAGGCTGTGCATTCACAGAGAATATAAGGAAACTCTGTACTTTCCACTAAATCTTGAGGCTGAAAACTGTTCTTAAAAAAATAAAGTTCATTAAAACAAACAAAAAAATACACAAATCTTAGTGGTTTCTGTAATTACTGGGCAATAATTTATGCACAGTTAAAAACAAACAAACAAAAACAAAAGAATTAGCATGCCCCTTTCAATATTTAACATATTATCATGGAACTATTAGAACCCTGAATAAAGACTAGTTCAAAATATCTTACAATAGATCCAACAGGGAATTTCTTCCACCAGAAAAAAAAAGATATTTTCTAAGTCAAGTAATCATTATATTGATCAAGGAATGTAACGAAATGAAGAATACAAAACCCAATTTTTCCAATGACCTGTTTGGAAACAGTGTATGATGTCCAGAGTGGCATTAGGAATATTTCACTATAACCGCTTTCAAAGTCAGTGTGATATAAGATATTATATCTAGTTCGATAAAGCACGGCAGGTCGCCCATAGAGGAGATGTCTCTCTAGGAAAGAAAAAAGTTAAACTATGTTAAATGCACATTGAACTTTACACCAAAAGTTAAAGAAATATTGGAAGAGCTGAGTTGTCTAAAATGTGCTAGCTTACTTATTAATAATGTAGTGCCTTCTCCTTAATTTAAATGTGAGTCTTCCTAACATTTTTGTAGTTTCTGATCACCTGTGCATGCATCAAGGCTTGCAGTTATCAAAACTGTAATGTAAATGCCATATTTATGTTAATGCTCTTTATGGTTGTAAGTAATTTAAATCTATATAGAAAGGAAATATTATATAACAAAATTAGAAATGATTCCACTGAATGGAAAACCAAGGATTGGACTTCAGTAGAATAACAGGCTAAACAATGACTTAATTAAGAAGAAGGCTCTCTCATCATTATTTGCAAACTGCAACTCAAATATACATTATTTCAGCATAAAATGTGAGTGGTAATGAGAATTTAAAGGAAGCAGCTTTGTCACATGGAGGTAAACTCTTTAGGTAAGAACTTAAAGGAACATGTATAGATAAAATAAGTGGGCATTCAAGAGAGTCCTTTAAATACCAAAAAGAGGTGTTCATCAGTTACCCAAGAGCTCAGTGAAGACTCCCAAAAGCAGAGACAGATCCCTCAAGGGAAACCTCTCTTCTTAAGGAAAAAGGTTTGAAACCTTACTTTTTGAGGAAGAAGAAATTAAGTTTACTAGTTCCATACTAGTGCCTACAGCCTGATCTGACCACTTTGGACAGGCCAAAACTTCCATAGATTCTTAGAAATCAGGGTCACTCCAGTCCAAAATATTTAGAGATTGAGGCTTAGGCAATTCATAATTCCTTAAGTGATATATATATTTTAAGGGGGAAAAAACTTTTTTTTACTAGTATTTTATTAGAGAAAATAAGTTCTGGCAATCACTTATTAAATTATGTATACATGTTGCTTTAATTAAAGTGTTACCATTCTATGCGAGTAATGGAGAAAACCCTTCATAGAATACTTTGCAAGACCCCCCCAAGTAGAACTGATGATTTGAGGCAAAGAGGCCCACACTGTTACAACATAAGCCTGTTCTGCATAGTTTGGCTTCGGCAGCATGGCAGTAAATATAGAAGGGTTGCCTAAGCTTCCAAATTTGGGGACCCACCCCTAAGAATTAGAACATTACATGATAATATTAAATAAGTGAAGTATAATAAACAAAGTAAAAGCCAGCAAATCATAACAGTAGTACTTGGGGGGGGGGGCAGTAAACCAACCCAGACTTTCTTTGAAACTCAAACCAAACCTTTTCTAGGTTCAAAATTTCCATTAATGATTTCCTTGTTTTCATTTTTGCTGCCTCTGAATTTCCTGGTTTCAGCTGGAAGCAGAAGTATCAAAATTTTTTGAGAAGCTATTCTCTTTTAATCATTCAAGTGTTAATGCTTACCATGCACATTTCTCCAAACCAGAATTCAAGCCTAGCCTCCCATCTGTTCCATGAAGGGACAACAAAAGAGCAATCACATGTAACACCCCTCCTTGAGCAGCCACCAGACAATAGTTTGGGTGATCTACAGTCTCCACCAACTCTGGCTCTTCCTTTCTCCAGGGGCCCTCATTTCTTGGCATTTCTCAATTTGCAGCACCCACACATGATCGTGGTGAACACCTCTTTGATATTACACATGTGATTGCTTTTCTCTCTACTAACAATAACTTCTCCAGTCTTCTCCACCAGTCTGTCACTTATCTCCTTCCCAATTCATCCATTATGTATTCCTCATCAAACACTGATTGAAAACCTACATTGGACCAGGTCCTGGGCTGTAGAAGAAAAGTAACTGAGCAAAGAATATTAGGATAGAACTCTTACCCTCAAAGAGCACAGAGTTCAATGGGAAAGACAAACGTGGCACAAATAACTCACAAATAACATAGTCTGCACCATATTAGAGCTATCCATAAGAATATGGAAGGAACACAGAGGAGGATGAATGTCACAATGGGGGTAAGATGGCATCAGCAAAGCCCTCCACAGAGTATATGACATTAAACCAGGGTGAAGCCACATCCCAGCTTATGTCTGCTATTCTGACATATTATTAAAACACTCTTTTTCACACTCAAGGTGTAAGACAAATAATATGGTCACAGAATTCAACCATCATGGGAGAGACATGAGTTAAAAAGGAAGAAGTACAAGATCAACCAAATATCCAAGAATCACTTTCTACAATTTCCCAACGCACCTTCTCCATATCTACTCATTCTTCTGCTCTGAATAGACTTCAGTTTGCTTCAAAAATTTGGGCTTCACAGTTTCGAAGCATGGACACAACTGCATTATGAAACACAGCTGAAGCACAAATGTTTCATTATCTGATCAATTCTTTTTCAGTTATTACTGAGCATCAGGAAAAAGAAAAAGAAAAAAAAAAAAACACCCAGTGGTTTCAACAACCTTCCAAAATCCAACCAATCAAGATTCTTAACTGACCCCCACACCCACAAAACAATGTACCTGGGTCTTCCTAAAACTTAGCAGTTTTGTCCAAGAAAGAAGTGAAATAATCTTTGCAGTAAAAAACACAGATTTTAAAGTTCTGATTCAAATTTGGATTTTACTTTTTCAATTTATCAAAGTATCAATGAATCACAGGATCTTCATCATATCCTGACTTTGTGGGTCTTTATAATTTCTTAGGCGAGCCACATATTGAGTTTCTGCTGAACAAAATGCTCCTACCCAGGCCACAAAACGTACTTGATTCTGTCCTTACACGTTAAGATCTTCGCCTCAAGACTAAGCCACAAGCTTCTGCTTTGACAACATGTTCCTGTGATTTCTTTTTTTATTTTTTCCTACAGTAAGTGACTCCAATAAGTAATTGAAGTATTCATGCTTTTAAAGTATTTACTTTCAAAATATTTAAAAATTTTTAACTGTCACAGCATTTGCACATATTTATGGGTTACAGTATGATATTCTAACACATATGTAACATGTGTACATATCAGGGTAAATGGATCAGTGTAATTGGTATGTTTATTACCTCAAACACTTATCATTTCTTTGCATTGAGAACATTTAAAATCCTCTCTATAAGTTATTTTGAAATTTATACTTAATTTTGGTCATGTAGTTACTCCATTATGCCATATAGAAGTTATTCCTGCTGTCCAACTGCACTTCTGTACCCATTAACCATCCTTCTCCTGTGATTTTTTTCTGTGGCTGTGCCTTCCCAGACTGGGATCCTGCTCCATAGAATTCTAGACAGAGCCTTTATTCCACACCCTGATTCCTGTTTACAATAGTGTCTCTGGCATTTTGGTACACGCCAAGGTTCTCCTCCAGATACCACATTTGGCAAGATGCTGTGAGACAAATCTTTTTAAGTGGTGTGGACTCCCCAGCATTTACTGTTTTTCCCTTCCAAAGTTTGGTCATGCAGACCTGAGTTTGTGTTTCTCTTCCCTCCTCAGCTTCCTGATTCACATTCCCACAGATTGGCTGGCTAACTTGCAGCCACATGAAAATCTCTCCTCCCTTTTGTTTTTTAAACATTCACTCCCACAATAATATGCTCTTAAATTTGACCACAAAAACCTCTACACAAGACCTTTCCTTTTCCTGTATTCTTTCTCCTTCTTTGCTTTATAAGTGTCTATTATCATTCACTGACATTTCAATCTCCTTTGGGATTCTACTGGACGTCTCTATTAGTGCTCTGTTCTTACCTCAACCCTTGAAACAGTATGCTGTAATTCATTTACTTCCTACGTCCTTCCATAGATCAATAACTGTATGAGGACAGGGACTTTATCTGTGTTTTTTACTACCAGATCCTTCTTCTCTACCACCAATCACATAATATCTACTTGGTAAAGACTTATTGATGAATCAATAAAAAATACATAAAAATAAAAAGCTGGGTTTTACATATGACCTGCCTAACATAATGCTGAGAGACAGATTGGGCAGATCAGTTCCCCCTCCATTTTACTGATGGAGAAATTGGGGGTTTATTATTTATACTAGATAATTCGGCTACATAGCAGCACCAAGACTCTAGGCCTCAAACCTCTTGACATCATTTGTCACTTTAGCCTTTGGGGCAATCTCCAGCCGGATGCTGCCTGCTGGGTTGTTCTAATGGAGAACATATTGGAATGAAGGTCCATCTGCTCCTGTGCATCAGTTCTGTCCAAGTGATATATGCTGAGACAACATTAGTAAGCCCTAACAAGGACAATCATTTGTATCAAAGCCTCTAGTATTTCATAACAACTTGCAAATCTTGACATGAACTGAAATTCTCTCCTGACATATTCCCTTTGTGCCAACACTTAGAATAAAAAGCATTTTCAGAGGAAATCACATAGGCTTAAGTGTCACTAGAACTGGAGTCAAATCTCATCTTAGCTCTTCATAACTCTGCAACTCCGAAACTTAACATCCTAAAGGCTTCTGCTTCCCTGGGATGTTGTACTGTCAAAGAGCAAAACATGTAATACACCAAGGTCAGTCTTCACCCAAACTAGCTTTGGTCATAGTGGTTGTAGTTGTCACAGCTTAGTATCAGCAAACAATATTGGTAGTTAAAGATGATTAGAATTCAGTGTCTATATCAAATCTACTATAAATCACAAGCAATTATACTGTGTAATGATTTCTTCCAAGTCTTCCTTAAAACACACACATGGACACACATACAGAGAAACACAAGTACATCTTCTTCTTTAAGACAACTAGCAACTCCAAAATATAATAAAACTAAGAAACATTTTTAGAATCAAAAAGAGAGACAAGAGATTCCCTCTCTAAAATATTCAAAATACTACTTTAAAGTTAGTAAGTCTTATCACTCCTTAAGTCACTCTTCTCTCATTGTGTGTGAGAAGGAGCCAAACATATACATACAAAACCATATCATTTAAAAATGATTTTCAATTCCTTTTTATATAAAGATGATAGTGAATTCTAACTTAAGAAAATATAAAACATTTTATAACCATGTAAATAAAGACTAAGGTGAAACTAAATATTGTAATAATTCTTACCACAAAAATTATAGCCAGCTTCAGTGCTAGAATCGCCTGCTATGAGAGTTTTTAAATTTTCCATTTTATTCATGCATTCATCCATTGATTCAATGTCACAAGGAAATGAGTTTTCATTGCATAGTAAGTCCATCAAGATGTTAGCTACATGTGACCCAGAAAGAGCAACCAGCGTACAATTAAGATCTGGAATTTATCACTTATCTAGAAATACAATTGCAGTGTAGATCACCATCTTGGAAGACTACATTTTCTTCCTTTTCATTTTGGCAAATGACTTCATTCTATAACAGTTTAAATATTTATAGCAAACTATTTCCTATGATTAATTTAATATACCTCTTTTTTCAAATCTCCAAATATCCCCTGGGTTATTTCATTACTGGAATGTGCAGCCTTTATATGTGTGCTTTATACAGATATATGAGTGATTTTACAGCATATGACATTAAAACAGCCACATATGAATATTTCAAGTGGGTTATGTGTAACATATGGCTTATTCTGAAATATATCAACTACCTATATCTGTGTTTAAAACAACTAATAACAAAAATTGTACAATTTTACCTTTGTATAGAAATGTAGGTTTACAAATTACAAGCTTCAACACATATTCAAAGGTATCCAGAAAAGGGAAGTAATTACTCTGAATAGATTCATGTGCTCACACACACAGAGATTTGCATTCACAAGGTTCTGCTCCAGTGGAGCAAGCATTCAATATTTTAAATGGGAGACTAGGATTTATGACACAGGAAACATCACAGAGGCCTGAAAGGACTTGGACTAAGAAAATGTTGCTTTGCTGCCAAAGAAATGACCAAAAGAGAGCCTATAAGAAGACAGAAAAAAGACCAAGAGATGAAGAAAAAAATAGAGTATTGAGGTGTATGCATATTCCAGAATCTAAATAAGAAAATGCTTTACCCATAATACAACCATGACATATAATTATTTTTACTTCACAAAATTCTTTTAAAGGCTGGTCCCATTAGGACATGAGCAGACCAAGGGCATGTGCCACTATGAGTCTCCTCTAATATTTTATGCTGCCACTTTTTATAGGTGTAGCTGTCTCAGAGAAACCAGAACCAGGCCAGGGTGAGCATCCTACAAACATTGAATTAATCCACAAATGTTAAGCTTTTATGCTTGAAAAGACCCTTTGGTGGTAGGTGTAAGAGACTTTTGTTCAACTGAGCAAACCACACAGAGAGGACAATATTACCTGCAAATTCTATCCCTGAGAGTCACAAATTCATTAAGAAGATGCCTCTTATGTTCATGTTTGGAGATTTGAGGCTATTTCGTGCTCAGTTGTCAGAAAGATTTTGTCACAATGTCACCGAGAATTATTTCTGAGATCAAAATGTTTTAGTACCATGAACAACCAGAGTTTGAATCAGCAAAAACATGGGATCTTATCATCAACATAAGATAACTGTAGTTATGTGGGTTAGTCTCTGTGTCCTCTATTCTGTACCATTGGTCTACAGGTACAGTTATCATATATTAGACAAAGGCACCAAAAACATACATTAGAGAAAAGACAGCCTCTTCAACATATGGTGCTGGGAAAACTGGAAATCCACATGGAACAAAATGAAATTAAACCCCTATCTCTCCCATTCACAAAACTCAACTCAAAGTGGATCAAGGACCTAATAATTAAACCAGAGACCTTGCATTTAATGGAAGAAAAAGTAGGCCCAAACTTTTATCATGTGGGATTAGGCCCTGACTTCCTTAATAAAACACCTATAGCACAAGAATTAAAACCCAGAATCAATAAATGGGATGGATTCAAACTAAAAAGCTTCTGCACAGCAAAAGAAACAATCAATGAGGTGAACAGAGAGCCTATTCTGGGAGCAAATTTTTACCACTTGCACATCAGATAGAGCACTAATCTCCAGAGTATATAAAGAACTCAAAAATCTAAACACCAAAAAAACCCCAAATAACCCAGTTAATAAATGGGCCAAGGAAATAAACAAACACTTCTCAAAAGAAGCTATACAATCAATCAACAAATATATGAAAAATGTTCAACATCTCTAGCAATTAGAGAAATGCAAATCAAAACTACTGTAAGATTTCACCTCACTCTAGTCAGAATGGCAGCTATTATGAAGACAAACAACAATAAGTGTTGGTGAGGATGTGGGGGAAAAGGCACACTCATACATTGCTGGTGGGACTGCAAATTGGTGCAGCCAATCTGGAAAGCAGTATGGAGATTCCTTGGAAAACTTGGAATGGAACCACCATTTGACACAGCTATCCCACCCCTCAGTCTATACCTAAAAGACTTAAAAAACAGCATACTACAGGGACACAGCCATATCAATGTTTATAGCAGCACAATTCACAATAGCTAAATTGTGTAACCAACCCAGATATTCTTCAATAGATGAATGTACAGAGAAACTTGGGTATATATACTCAATGGAACATTACTCAGCATTAAAAGAGAACAAAATCATAGTATTTGCAAGTAAATGGATGAAGCTGGAGAATATAATGCTAAGTGAAGTAAGCCAATCCTGAAAAAAAAAAAAAAAACAAAGGCCAAATGTTTTCTTTGATAAGAGGATGCTGACTCATAATGGCAATGGGAGGGGAGCAGGGGGGGAATGTAGGAACTTTAGACAGGACAAAGGGGAGGGAGGGGAAAGGAAGGGGCAAGGGGGTAGAAATGACAATGGAATGAGTTAGACATCATTACCCTAAGTTCATATGTGAAGACATGAATGGTGTGAAAATACTTTGTGCACAACCAGTGACTTGAAAAATTGTGCTCCATATGTGTAATATGAAATGAATTGCATTCTGCCATCATGTATAACAAATTAGAATAAATAAATAATTTAATAAAAAATCATCATCAACAAACCAGTGGCTTTTAGAAGAGAAGCTTCTCAGTACTATTTCTTTGCTTTGTGATTGAATATTTGAAAAACTCAAATCATGAGACTATCTATCCTTGACCCTGGCAGCATCCCAATTCTTGTAATTATTATGACACCATAGTCCACATGGTTTAGGGAGGTCAAACATTTCAAATCACTCAGATTTTGTACAGGATATGTGTAGCTTTCACCAATGAATTCCACCTTTAAAAATGGATTTACCCAATTATATGCCTGAGTCTACATCCTCTGTGATCAAAGGAAGGAGGAGGAGGAGGAGGATGGAGAAAAGGAAGAAGGGCAGATGAAGATCTTTATAAAGGAGAAAAATAAGTCAAGTAAATAAAAAGTCTTCTACTGCTTTCTTCAACTTCTGCTTAGTAAGATTGGAAACAGCACATATGATAAATGAACCATACATAAGCTAATAACTCCAGCGATGGTCTCAGGAAAACTTGACCTTGTGCATCTTTGTTGCATGGCTTGGGGGTGCTGTGCTTGTGTCCTATATGGTTCCTTACTCTCAGTTATTCCCCTGCTGTTTCAACAAGCTGTCCCATCTACTATATTAACCCATACAGCACCTCCACACCCTCTTCTATTTTCTTCTAAAGTTTGGAATTTCAAAGTTAGAAGGAAGAAGGTAAATTGCATTTTTATTCCTAATTATTTATTGTCTCCACCCATTGCCATGTGACTTGTGAGACAAGGTCCTAGTGGAAAGAATATATTTCCCTGCACCATTGGTGCCAGTGATAAGGCTTTGGCCAGTGAATTGTGAATGGAAGTGAAGTGCCTCATGATAGAAATGCTGAGTTACAATATGCATTTCTTTGTGCTGCCCTAGACAGGATATGTCACATACAGGGGCTACCCTGTCAACCCAGACTCTAGAATTAAGAATAAAGCAAGTAGGGA